ACAGCCATATATTCAAATCATCCACATTAACTCATTGCTTCCCCAAAATGCCACAGCGCTCTCTGGTAACTGATGTAAGCACAGTACACGGTTGCTCCATTGCAATGGAACACGTTATTTTGGCGATGCTGTACTGCGTTGCCATCGGTGCACAAGTACACATAACAACACAACTTAACACTTCATCAGTAATCATGTGTGGCCTTAAACGGGGAAAAAATATAATAGGCGACGTTTCAGGTGATGGCCCTTCATAGCAGAAATGGATGACTATGAAGAAGGGCTATCGACCGAAATGTCGTTTATGATGTATATTCCTTTTAGGCCACGGTGTTAATGATGCATGTGCTGAGTTATTTGTCTCTTGTAAGAAGTTGCTAATTGTAAATGTATGATCATAAGCTCTGTTTCACCATGGTGTGTGCTACAGTACTTGCATGTTTTATCGTTTTGCTATACATAGCCAGTTTTCAATGGGGAAGTCGATACGTATTTATTTATTTAAACCTAAGAGTATAGGGTTTAAAGTGTTCATACATTAGCGCCTTGCGCGTCTACCGTCTCGGTCGTGACAAGCGGTCGCAATCACTCGCGTGGCCTATTAGAACATCGACTAAAGGATGAGCCGAACAATTTCAGGGAGAAAGGCGAACGCTGAACCGGTGTCAGCCTTTTCGGCCAAGGAAAATGAGCTCAGAGGCCATTCGCGTCTCCCAAGGCGTCACGAATGTTGCGACGTCGTCTCGACTAGTGACTCGGGGAGGGATCCGTTCATCAGCACTAATGGTTGTACTGTACTTCCGTGTTCAACACGCGTGTTGTCAAGAATTAGAGAAGACGCGACGTGAGCACAGCTTTGCATTTCTTGTTTGGTATTTGTTTTTTTTTGGCTCGGAAAGTTACCCGAGTCTCACATTTCTTCTTTAGCAAGGGGGCCCCTACGCGTTCTTGGGGACCCTTTGACCAATTCTCGTTGAGTTTTGTGGTTTCCGCGTTGGAGGAAACGAGCGTACACCCGGAGAAAACCCCGACGCGCATTCGGAGATTTCGCTCAAAATCTCTACACAGATGGGGCCATGAACTGCCCCCGAGGGTTTGGAAATTTTTGCAAAATCAAATACATCCATAAACTCTCGCTGGATAGCAGTTGCATGTCGACATGTCCGGCTGTTATGTGTGACGTGTTTTTTTATGAAAGAACTTTCAAAAATTTATCAAAACTGAATGAATTGTGAAACTCCACGTGCATAGGACAGAGCGCAACCGAAGATTCCCAGTTGGTGAACGCTTTTTTTTCGACAAGAACGGCTCATGAACACAGGTAGCCATTAATGACTAAATATTAATACGTTTTAATAAATATTATGGATTTTGATTTAAAGCTTTCGTGACTGCAGGGATTCATCTTCTTGGTTTTTTCGGTAAAGTCACGTAGAAGGGAAGTAATAAAATAATAAAAATAAAACATAATAAAATAATTTTATTATGTTTATAAAAATAAACATAATTTTATTATGTTTTTATTATGTTTTATTTTAATTTTTTTATTACTTCCCTTCTACGTGACTTTACCGAAAGAACCAAGAAGATGAAATATTATGGAATTGGAGGAAAAGGAGAGAAGCGGGTCCAAGGATGGACGACCCTCGCGGAGATGGAGCGACGACATTGGTTCATGGGCAGGAGCGAGAGCACTGGATCATGAGGGGTGGCGACGGTATGGGGAGGCCTTCATCCAGCAGTGGAGAGAAAATGGTCGATGACGACGATGATGATGATATAATGTGGACATGGGCACATTCCCCAAATCAACAGGGAACCTATCTTATTGCACATTCTCTTCCTCTCCCCTCCACCCCTTCCCATCCCTCCCCTGCCCTTTCGTGATCCCCAAGTTTTCGTCTTTCGCTGTCACTCAGTCCTCAATCCTTGCAGCACGCCCCTGCCATCTAAACCATTCCACTCTGTCATCGTTTCTAAGCTAAGTCAAGCGCCGTGTGTGATACGTCAGATTAGATTAACGTTTATAGGCATGTTATAATACACTAGAAGAACACTGTTACGTATATGCACCTTAGGTGGGATAAATATTTCTATTACATCTCTGCAGTGTCGTGAGAGATGGTGCCGGCTTGGATGGAGGTCTTCCTCCAGCAGTGGATTGACCATGGCATATGATGATGATGAATATTTTAATTGGGAGAAACCTGATAATGATCATGAGAAGAAACGGGTGTAATATTAGATTAGAGAATAAAATGTTAAGTTTCCATACATATATATTTAAAAACATATTAAAAAGTATATATCAGGAAATGGCACGAATTATAAGCAGGGTTCAACAATATTATTATAGCGTTGCATTTTTTTCCCAGACATATTTAATCAGATTGAAAAAAATAAGTCAAGTCATGGTTATTTTATTTAAAAATATTTTTTTGAGGGATGAATCATGTAAAATTGTGTGCACGTGTGTGTTTGCGTGCATGTGAACGTTATATTTTAAAACCACAGGTCCAAACTGTTTTGTACGTTGTGGGTTTTCAAGTCTAGCCGTTGTCTCTGATACACGCGTCGATGTACACCGAGACAAGGATGTAGTCACCATGAGAAATGTAACGTTTTTTATATAATTCATACGCAAAGATTTTCACCACCGATATCACGACTCACGATATAACGCAACTAATTTATTTTGGGTTACATTATTGCCTACAGGTATAATGCAAATTTTGTCAACTATTACCCTCCACCGATCTAACCACGTGAGATATAAATCTAGGTATGTAATCACTTTGGCAAATATGCCAATATGAGCAAAATCGGAGTGTTGAATATTAATGTGACACCAACGATCCCTTCAATGGACACGTATCACCAGTTCCTCATGGTGTCAATAACAAAATAATGCTTATTTGATTAACCATTTAACCAATTAACGCTTAACCAAAATAACTATTCACACGCCCGATAAAAAAGAATAATCGCGATACACATGCATATAATTAAGGAACGCATCCTGTCCCCAACATCCACTCAATAGATTCGTTTATTTTTATGATAACACTGATCTGACCTGTCAATCACGACCAATCGTGTACCAGCAATGAACTCTCATTGTTAACCTGAAGAGTCACCTGCATGGGTTGGCCGAATGATGCCATGGCCCCCTGCGACCGTCCAATAGCCCGTTTGTTAGTTGTGCAATGTGACATTGTTTGTCTTTGTTTTGGGAGTTGTTGTTGATGTGCTCACGTGGTACCACGAATCTTCCGTGTAAAATTGCCGGGCAACTTAACTGGCCAAACGGAAACCATCACCACCACCATCATCATCATCATCCGTGTAAGAAATAAAATGAACTCTAAACTTCAGAAGGGCCAAGATCAAGAAGCTCTTTCCGAGCGTTTGGGGCCGTCCATAAATGACGTCACGCGATTTTGGACGATTTTTTTACCCCCCCCCCTCGTCACACGGCGTCAAAAAAAGTCAGACCCCCCTCAAATATGACGTCACAAAGCTCTGCCCCCCCACCCAAAATAAAACATGCTTCAAATCGCTTTAAACTATTGTCATTGTAGTGCGTATTAATGTGGCGCTGCACTCTGATGTTGTAGAAGAAAACATTTATTACAAAGTCTATTTAAATAAGTAGAACGTGTTGTCTATATTTATTTAAAGTTGCGCATTTTGATGTGACCTCACATTTCTCAAACCCGCCCTCCCCCTCGTCACACATCGTCACAAATGTCTGACCCCCCCCCCAGGTGCGTGACGTCATTTATGGACGGCCCCTTTGTGAACATCTGATGATGATGCGAAACGTCGTACACAAATCGACAAACTGTTGTTTTAAATCTTGACTTTCTCCTGATGATGATTGCTTGTGTTGCGATCGAAACGTCGTGATATTTTTATTATTTTTCATTCACTTTATTTTTATTTTTATTATTTTATTGCTGTTATTTTTTCTATCTACGTGTCTTTTCCGAAAGACCCAAAGAATATGTTGTTTTAAATTTCGTTATATTAAAAAAAATTTTAAGAACATTTTTTTTATTAGAATAATTTATTTTGGGCAAATGTGTTTTATGCCGACATATATCTTACCCATAAATACACTAAATTAAAGGAGTTAATTTGAATGGAAACAATTTACTATCTTCTTGGTTCTATCTGTAAAGTCACATAGGAAAGAAATAATGAAATAAATATTTTTATTTATTACAAAATTTTATGTAATTTTTTTTATATTTATTATTTCCCTTCTACGTGACTTTGCCGAAAGAACCAATAAGATTAATCCCTGCAGTCACGAAAGCTTTAAATCGAAACCATTTGCCACTTATGTTCCTTTAATATATTGTGTACTATACAAGGAGAGTTTACACACTTATTTACGTACACTTTATATACAATATAGTATAAACTAAATATGCAGTTGGAGAAAACAGCAAATTAGATTGTTAAATAGTCCAGAAACAAAAACATTCTAAATATAATCTATTTAATTTTGAAGTATGACAAATAATCAATATTAATTGACAAATATTGACTTTTTTTACATTTGCATTACGTAAAAAAATGGTGTAAAAATCTGTATAAAATTGTTAAATCACTTTAAGTAAACATGTCAGTGAGGATATGGCTCTTTCTAACTATATTCCAGATAAGGTGAAAAGCAGCAATTGACTGCCAACCACAAGTTTACAAAACGAGTTTCACATTATTATAAAAATATACTGTTCTTAAAATAATTAAACCAACATGTATTTCTAACGTCCATAATTTGTTTCAACAAATGCAATATTTATTTTTTATTTAACACAAATATATGCGAACATATTAGCTGAAACAATGCCTTTTTTAACGTATTTTTTTGTTCATTTGAAAACCTTCATGCAAAACAACTTCAACAGAACTTTGAACCAATGACCAAGCAGTATTCTAAGCGACATAAATATTACAAAAATCTCATAGAACGAATAAGTGATCTCGAGATGACGTGAGCACATTTAGTGCAACGGTCACAATTTAAATATGCTTATAAAGACATTGAATACAGTATTGCAGAACCACATGGCCTGGGTATTTTAATAACTATGTGTGTGTACACAGGTTAGTGAGGAGCGGACGTTGAACGGTTAGCGCGCCAGTGACGATGATCTGAAATGGTCCTGGACCTTCCCTAGGTCGACTCAGCCGCAAATGAGCACCTGGTGCGATGTGTAAAACATCGCCACTGGGGAGACAAAGGCGGCCGGGCGTGCTGCTGGCCACCCACGCCCTCGTGTGCTGGGCCACCCTTCGTATAGTTGCTCGCTAACAGCACTTGCCCCAACAGTCTGTCAAGGCTATATGGGGGATCTTTGTCTTTGTGTTGTACTGTGTGTGGGTGTACATTGGTTATATAAAAAAAACCCCAATGTCTACCACGAACGTTCGTTCTCACAAGCGACCACACCCTGCTCATAGGCAAAACATTTACATATTGCCTCCAATGGTAAGCAGTATCGCTCACATTTCCTGTAAATATTCAACCTCACATGCAACAGCTGCCTTTGGTCACAGAAATTCATGTTTTCATTTTGCAGTATTACCCACAACACCGAGTACAATATTCTGCTTATTTTAACATGTAGTATGTATCGTGTTTGGGATTATATTGTGTCAAATGCAAAGCAATTATATCTCTATTTATAGCAACCACAATAGCAGCCGACTCATTTTAAATGTTTTTTTTTAATATGTAGAACCAAACCGCGTTGCAAATGGATATTACCCAAAGGTTGGAAAATAATCTTACAAGAATAATGACTGGGTGTAGTGGTCCTTAACAATCAGGGCCGTTTACAAAATCACAAATATATTTCCAACCAACAGCGCACAGAGGTTTATGAGGACAGCCCGCATTCACAGTTCCCGCACATCCAGTAACGTGGCGAGAAGCACAGCAGCGACAGTCAGAACAGCAAGCACGCATCGACAGAGATGTAGCCACACGTGCTGTTACTGCTTAAATAAACAAAATGCCCCGTTGTTCGGTGGGTACATAAACGTCTTCACCTTCAGTTCGCGTTGTAAATCTGCGTCGAACGGAGAGGGACAATTGTCCACCGGGGGATAATCTCATTCATTCAAACTCGGGCCACTTGCGGCAGTGTCTCCCCTGCCTCCCTTCGCCTGCCCTCGCCGCAACATCAACCAAAGCGACCACGCTCTGTTGCCACACCGGGTGAGCAGTGTCGACACGAGGCTATTACCAAGTAGCTGCTGCTGTGGCTGCTGTGGCCGTGCCCGTGGGGGGCGGTGGTGGGGGCCCCGACATTTGCAGCATCTATACGGACACATCAGGAGGGGGTTAAGGAAGTCCCCGGGGTTTGGGTGGCGTCGTGGAGCGGTGGGGCGGGTGCAGAGAACGCGGGTGGAACAGGAGCTTCGCGTTTGCAGGCGACTGCTGCGGCGGTATAGACGCGTGGCTACAAACATTGCTCTTGAACCTCAATGCATGGACAGGGAAAGGCATCGTCGTGTCAGGGGTTGCAGACAGCGAGAGTGAAGCAGAGGGGAGGGTTCGCCCAGCCGCGTGGCCTCCGCATCGCCTTGGCAGCTCGCGCCCACGGCTGCTCGACTGCGTTGCTGCTGCTGCTGCTGACGTTCCGTTACATGGGGAGCGCCGTCTTGTTCCCCATCGGTTTCACGCAGTTGCGCATGCGAATGAACTGTACACGTGTTTATGTATAAATGGTGTGTACGTGATATGTGTAGGCTCATGTCTCGCTTTGCTCACGTGGTGTATGCGTGTGTATGTACGAACACGTGTTCTTTACACTCTTGATAGTTAAGTGCCACGGGCATGATTTTCTTCTGTCGTGATTCAACGCAGGCACTTTGCATGATATTACATGCGTGAATATTAACATGGTATATGTTAGAAATGTATATAAATCTAGCGTTGCTTATGAATGCACACACTGCGTATATACAGCCACGCATGCTTGTAACTGTAGAGTTTATAAGTAACCAAGTGTTGATTCTCCATTGCTGCTTTACTCTGCTATTACATATAGACCTGGAATCTATGTATCTTTCCAATATCCATGTTCTATTATAAATAGGCCCATGTGCGGTGTATATTTATATCTTTCAGCATAGCTACATTTTCTTGGTTCTTTCGGTAAAGTCACGTAGAATGGAAATAATAAAATAATAAAAATAAAACATAATAAAATTATTCTCACGACGTTTCGGCCACAACGCAAGCAGCCGTCCTCAGGTGGAGAACAGGTCTGTCGAGGAGACAGAGTCTCTATCAAGAGTGTAAAGAACACGTGTTCGTACCTATACACGCATATACCACGTGAGCAAAGCGAGACATGAGCCTACACATATCACGTACACACCATTTATACATAAACATAATTATTTTATCATGTTATAAACATAATTTTATTATGTTATAAAAGAATTATTTTATTATGTTTTATTTTTCTTATTTTATTATTTCCTTTTTACGTGACTTTACCGAAAGAACCAAGACGATGAATCCCTGCAGTCACGAAAACTTTAAATCGAAACACAGCTACATTGTAGGATAATAAGTAGAAAGGTGTCGTTTCAGTTTTAAAGCCGTTGCAAAATAAGCTTGCAAGTTTAAAGGTCGTATTTTCAGCTTTCTAAACGTCTGAGAAAAATCAAACTTTTATTGACATTGATTATTGATTTCAGATGTAGCAATTTTAACCTATAAATATCCCTTTTCTTTAGTTCCTCTTTAACTTACAACGAATTTACAAGTGAACATAAGAAACAACCATCAGCATGAAATCATAACCCCCCCCCACCCTCCCATAAATCCACGACAGTTTCACAAACATTTCATTGCGTTAACATTTCCCCGCAAAAATCTGTTACGATACAAAAGAATAACAATACAGGCACTGGGACCGTCGCACGCACGAGTCACAACGC